TGACGGAAGGTAGATATTCACGAGATACCAGTGCAGAGCAACGTAGGCCACTGCTGGCAAGAGGTGACTGTAGATGTTGCAGGATTCGTTGTGGAGATAAGTCCAGCTGTGCAAGCAGCGAATGGCTGATCGAGACTCATGACGATAACCCGTTAGAATGAACTGGTTCCCTTCAAACCAGCTTGGGGTCTCGTCAAATTTCAGAAGACGCTCAGGCGGTTGGATCGGTGGTGAATCGAGCCGTGGGGGTGTTAAGGCCGAGTCGGCCAATTTTTGTTGTGGCATGGGGAAGAACACTCGGACAGCCGTAAATGATGGTATATATAGTTACTCGGGCGAGAGAAACACGAACTTCGACGGTGTGCCATACACGAAATCCGAAGATTGATATCATGTCTTTTTCCTTTCCACGTTGAAGGTCAACCAAGCGGGAAGCGGGATTTGCGCTTCAAAAGGGGTTAACTAACTAGTTAGTTAACTAGTTAGGTAACTTAACCGCCGCACTAATCCAGGCGCTTTCACAATCGCAGTAACGGTATGCTAGACTGCTCACACTTGGCCTGCGAATCCCCCTAGCAGCTGCTGGATGTTACACATGGGGATTCAGAAGAATGAAACAGTCCTGACGCCAGGCAGTTTATAACTAGCTGGCCCGGCCGCTGTGCCGACTTTCATCCATTTCAACCTTATTCCGTACATCTACGGAGTACTTATTTCAGTTTTTTTACCACGTGGAGCTTGACACTGAATTGAGTCCAGGTACGGCGAACAAAAGTTAGACGGCAGCCTCTCATAAGCAACAGATTTCAAGGAGCCCAGGTTCCTGTGGAGACTCTAGTGTCCATCAACCTTGGTACCGAATAGTCCTTGTGGATAAGCGGCCATAACTTCTCCTTTGTCTGCGGGGACCAAAGCTGGCTATCGCACACCACACAAGCAGGAAATACATCCTTCTTGTCTAACAGACGCTGTGCTGTGGAGGAAAATATGCTGTCGAACTTGTAAGACTATTCTTCTGAGATTTGAAGGCTGAAAAACGTATGAACAGCTGATGACATAATACAAATTTATATTGAGTTTTAGGCTCAACACCTTAATCACTGCTTCATTATTGGCTAAAGCCACCGCAAGTCCCACTTAAAGCTCTATAATGGGCAAAATAATCCCTTACTAAGCAGATAACCCCCTTCTTCCGCTGCCCCGTCCGCTTCTTATGCCGACGGTTGTATCAGCCGTTGTGTCGCCACATTTTCGTCTCCCGGCCTTGATCGCTAACAGGAGGAAGAGATTTCTCGAGATGTTGACCCAACGAGCAGATCAGCAGACTCCCCCGCCCCGCAAAAGCCTATATCACCATCTGGGGCAGCAGCCTGTGAACGGGACAGCTGGAGGGATTACTCCGCTGTGGTATCAGCCTATCCAAAGGGCTTAACAACAAAAACAAACCCAACACCTGGCCATGGGGGGAGCACCTGGAGCTGAAGAACTGGATAGGGGCCCTTATGAGAGCAATATCTTTCGGCGTAAGTTAGAGAATTAAAATGGACGCGCAGGAACTAGTAGCTGACTTTTCCACAGCGGAATCAAATCTTGCGTCGTATATACCAGGGGGATACTCTCCTTCGAGATGTATGAAACTCAGTGGCATGCCAATGGTGTATGCCATTTATGCATACGCCGGTTGTGCAATTATGTTTTTTGGTTATGATACGGCTGTTATGTCCCAGGTCAATATAAACCCTGACTATCTGCGAACAATGGGAGTTGCTGGCGGTACAGATCGCGATGCTGCAGCGATTGGAGGGCTTGTTAGCTTGTGGTTTGGTGGCTTTGCCATTGGTATGTCCATTATACCCTACCATTAATGAATAGTACTGCTCGTATTTACAAAATGGTACTAATTTAAAGTAACCGAGCAGGAGCAATGATGGTTGGATATACAGCAGACAGAGTAGGTCGGCTTAAAACAATCCAGTTTGGATGCATCTGGGGAATCCTCGGAGCTGTGCTCCTTGCCACCGCCCAAAACATTTCTTGGTTTGCCTGTGCTCGGGTTATAAGCGGTATTGGGTGCGGTTACTTAAACACCATAGTTCCAGTATGGACTTCAGAGCTTGCTCCGGCTAACATGAGAGGTGCATTTGTTGCTGTTCAATTTACACTTGCTATGGTTGGATCTGCCTTGTATGAACCCTCGTCTCTCCACCCTTTCGCCAAGTATCTACTAACGGAAGCTTCAGAGTTTATTGGTTAGAATATGCTTGCGTCAAGACCCGGTCGCTCTCCTTTGCCTGGAGGTTTCCAAACGCTTTCCAAATCATTTTCCTTCTCGTTCTTCTCGCTTTTGGACCATTCTATCCAGAATCTCCCCGCTACTTGGCTAAAATAGGGAAAATCGACCATGCAAAATCCATCCTACAAAAATGTCGCATTGACCCTAATGAAGAGAATATTGATAACGAAATGGAAGAAATCCTTGATGCCATTCGACTCGAGGCATCAGACTCCAACCCCAGCTTCTATAATATGCTTTTCACCTCGGACAAACTCCATACTCGTCGCCGAGTTTTCCTAGGCGCTGGAGTACAAATAATGCAGAAGTTCACTGGCATCGACTTCATTGCTGTCTATGCT